GGTTCATTGGCTGGGGGGGTAGGGGGTCGAAGACAACTGGAGACCAGTTTGGCCTTAGACTGCCCACAGTGGCGTGCAGTTTGGCGCGGGGGGGGGGGGGGGGGGGGGCAGTGCGAGGTCCAAGACGAGGAGAGTGGGACGAAGGGGAGAGGGTGGGAAGGAGAGCGTGTCTACCGCCATCGCTCTTATCGGCCGTTGCCTTTCCAGGAACTGGCGTAGTAGCTGTTGGACGATAATGACAAAGGCAGCGCCGGCCTTCGGTGAAGACGACTTACAGCTGTCAGCGGTTGGGTTCTGGCCACTCGGCCCCTCTCGGTCTGGCTCACTCCACTCCGGGTTGCTTTCTGCTGTTCCGGAGACCAGGTGGGGACCATTTGCGGGTGATCAGTTCCAAAAGTCGACTCTGGGGGGGCGCGTACAGACATTCCCAGAGAAAGACTTGCCTGGTCCACCTGATTCGTGTCTTCGCACTGCGCAAGGCTCAGCTTCCCCCACCGCACCAGGCATAGGATACAGCCCGGGCAGTGGGGGGCCGGGGTGGGGTGGTTGTGGGTGGGGTGCGGGAATGGTGCTGCTGGTGGCTCCGGTGGGAGGGGAATACGGCGGAATACAGACACACACACACGCACAGACACACACACTGACATACACACACACTCATGCATGCACGCACGCACAGAAATACACACACACACGTGCATGCACACGTGTGCACAACAACATACACACACGCACACGTGCACAGAAACACATACAAACACACACTCACAAACACACACACACACTCACAGACACACACACACTCACAGAAACACACACTCACAGAAACACACACACACACAGAAACACACACACACACGCACAGAAACACATACAAAGACACACACAAACACACACTCACAGACACACACACACACACACACACAGAAACACACACACACACTCACAGAAACACACACACTCACAGAAACACACACACACACACAGAGAAACGCACACACGCACAGAAACACATACAAAGACACACACAAACACACACTCACAGACACACACACACAGAAACACACACACACTCACAGAAACACACACACAAACACACACGCACACACACGCGCACACACACGCGCACACGCGCACACACGCGCGCGCGCGCACACACACACACACACACACACACAGAGACACAGTGCCACACCTGCCCTCCATTGCTGTCTGTACGGAAGATATATCGCAGGGCTGGGTCAGCGGTGAACGTGCCCGCGGACTGGACACTGGCGATGCTCGGAGAGCCCTGGTCCTCTTGTGTAACTCCACCTGAAAGTGGCAGAGACAGACAGGAGTCACACACACACACACACACACACACACAGCAATAGCAAGGTCCACATAGCAGGGTTGTACAGAGCCACGCACGTACACCCACACTCGCACACTGCCACAGTGAGGAGAAAGAGAGGTGGGACAAGTTAGGGGAGAGAGATAGAGACAGAGAGAGAGAGGGAGATAGAGGTAGATAGACAGAGAGATATATAGAGAGATAGAGAGAGAGAGAGAGAGACGCCATACCTTCTTGCAGGTGAAGTGAACCCTCCTCCCCTCCAGAAGCAGTCTGCTGCCTAAAAACGACACAAGGCCAGGTTAGTGTGTGCCTAAAGGAAGACAGCGAGAAAGAGAGAGAGAGAGGCAGAGAGACAGAGTGAGGCACCGAGAGAGAGAAAAAGATACGGGTGTAAAGAGACAGGAGAGAACCGCGACATGGATTAACTCTAGCTCTGTGATGCAGCTTCTGACTTGGAATCTCGACTGTCGACCTGCAATGGTATGAAGAGGGGCAGGCCTCTACTCTATCAGAACGCAACAACAGACTCGTAATTGGTCAAACACAACGAAGAAACACATAGTACATGGTATCGAATCTGCACTGACAGAAAACTACACTAGCCCCACTTTCCAGC